TTTTTTTTTTTTTTTTTTTGGGGGGGGGGATGGGGGTTCTTCAAGGTCTCCCTCGGACAGCCATGGCGTCCTTTGAAGCACCGCAACCCAAGGCCACAGACTGCGTCACCAAGGTGGCGCTCAACATCGCCTGTGATGATCTGCTGGACATGGACGCCTTCTCCAAGTCCGACCCCATGTGCGTGGTCCTGTTGAACTCCTCGGGTCCTCACTGGTACGAGGTGAGCGCTCGGCTGTTTCTGTTCTATGTCACTTTGATCACGGAAAAGATCTGGACTTGTAATGCGACGCAGCTTTTTTCTTTTGCTTTTTTTTTTTTTTACCGTCTCTTGTGCTAGATTGGGCGAACGGAGAAAATCCAGAACTGCCTGAATCCCAAGTTTTCCAAGAGCATCGTCCTCGACTACTACTTCGAGGTGGTGCAGAAACTGAGGTTTGAATTGTACGACATCGACAGCGAAAACTGCACTCCAGAAGAAGCGGACTTCCTGGGACAGTTCGAGTGCACCTTGGGACAGGTCAGAAAGAAAATGCCAGCTACTTATCGAGCTTGATGCGTCTTTTTCGATTTGTAAAAACGTAGACATTTCTGGTCTTAAGCTAGAGGTTGTAGCAGCTCTTACTAAACTGACTTGCTGTGTCTCTGTGTTCAGATTGTGTCCTCGAAAAAACTAACGAAACCTCTTGTGAAGAGAAACAAGACACCAGCAGGGAAAGGAACGATAACCGTGAGCTTATTTGATTGATTAAAAACTTATCAAGTACTTCACCTCTTTTGCTTTTAGAGCGTTGCTGCTTGTTTTAGGTGACTGGAACCGCAACAGTACAAGTGGGCCATTTCTGCTCTCTGTACAAAATAGAAAGTGTTTGGAGCTGCTTATGTTACTTGACCTTTTGGAAAAAGACAATTTATAATTTGGGCAATTTGTTGGCATTTTTAAAGAATCACCATTTTATTTTTAGGTCCTAAAAATATAGGAAAACATCCAACTTTTGCCAAAATAAATAAATAATATGTTACATGCATTTTCTTCAATGGTATATTAATGTTTGCATTAAATGTAAAAAAACAAACAACAATAACAAAAAACAACAACAAAAAAAAACTTAACACATAGTTTACAATTCATTGAGGATAATCGGATCTAAGAAACGTTACTGGTACTTTTATCGTCATTTTGTTGTGGAAATTCAGTTCAGTTATCCCAAGAAGAGTTTTGGTTGCTTTATACCAACACAAATCAAATGAGCTGGAGACAAAATTCTGACTTTCTACAAAGACACACACACAAACTCAAATCTTTACATAACAAACATTATTTACTGTTCATATTTATGTTTTAGCTTCAACAACTCGAGTTCAAGACTATTATACGTTCTGGGATGCTAAGCAGATTTTCTTTTTCCAATTTCTAGATTTGTGCAGAGGAGAGAAATGACAACAGGGTGGTGGCGTTGGAAGTTGCTGCCAGGTCACTGGACAAAAAGGTTTGAATGACTGACTGACTGATCCGCTCGCTGATTGGTCAGATTACTCTGCTGCTGAATTTTTAAACTCTTGACCAAACCGTTTTGTCAATACTGAATTATTAAAGGCAGATGATTGAAGATGAGTCGTCAAATCAATGTGACCTTCATGATTAGATCAGATCCTGGTGTCTAATGCGCTCAAAACAACTCACTTGATGTAGTAATTATTAGGGATGCTACTAATGATTATTTTGGTTGTAGATTAATCTATTGATTATTCTGTTGATTAATTGATTAATCAGATAAAAAAACTGGCTCATTCTCCAAACTTACTTGCGTTTAAGACATTTTTTGTTCAATGTTAGAAGCTTATAACTAATTTTATTATTTTTAAAATATGAAAATTAGCATTTTATCTCCTACAGTAAATAAAATATAAGATTCCATTATTGAATTCTTGATCATTTGTAGTAAAGGATGCATATGAAATAAAAAATGAAAAATACTTCTAACATCAACATTTGAAAAGTTTAGCCCTTTCTGCTCGACTTAGCATCAATACAGCGTGTGTTTGGTCTGTTCAGTAAAAGGAAAAAAATTTGAACCCAATGAAACTAAAGCTGCCACTTGATGAGTTCTGGATAAAACATATTTACAAACACTTTTTGTATGATTTTACATGTAAAACATATTTGAATATATATTTTTCAGGTTTGACTTAAGTACTGCTCTAAGTGTGCTGTCCTTTTGTTTTTGAGTCTGTACTCCAGTTAGTGATTAATCGATTACCAAATTAGTTGACGATTATTTTAATAATCAATTAATCACGATTAGTACGATTAATCGTTTCAGCCCTGGCGATTATTGAAAACAAGTTCAAGAGAAAAATAAATATTGCTAACTGGCTTCCAACATTTGTCATTTCCTGGGTAATATAAGAGTTTATGACTTACATTTGGAAGCCTTAACATTGCTACAGTTAAATAAAGTTAACTGCGGCTCTCTGTTTTTTCCAGGACTTTTTTGGCAAGTCCGACCCTTTCCTGGAGTTTTACAAGCAGACAGAAACTGGATGGCAGCTTGCCCACAGGACAGAGGTACAGACACAAAGTGCTGTTTGTGATAGTGAAGTAATTACTGTTATGTTTAAAGTGTGCACCGTTACAAAACATTGCAGTTTTTCCTAATATTTACTAATATTTCAGGTGGTGAAATGCAACCTAAACCCCATATGGAAGCCATTCAGAATCCCGATTCAGTCCCTCTGCGACGGTGACGTGGAAAAATCTATAAAGGTACAAACACTACAACTCCAGGCAGTATTAGTAAAGATAAAAAGCTAAAAGCTAGAATCTCCTAATGTCTGAGGCTTCTTCTTGAGTAACATCAAGTCCCCTGGACATGTTCTGTTGCGTTTAATCTCCTTGCTACAAATAAAGAAATGCGTGTTTGTTTTATGTCCATTTCTTAACTCCATTAAAGCACACTTATGTGGAACAGATGCTTTCCAGGCAGCACAAGTGAGTTAACTGTTAGCAGAGTGAGTGCACATCACTTGAAGGATGCGGTGTCTGTGACCGGACCGGCTCAAGTCCACAATGCATCTACATCCGTCTTAAAGGAACACACCTGCTGCTGAGGAGACTGGTCCATTGCTGAACCCACCTATTTTTTACTCCGTAATGAGACGATGCTGCGCTGGGGGTCCAGTCACTCATGAATTGTTTTTAACTTGGAAATTTCATATTAGGCATAGTGCACCGCAAAAGTACTCACAACCTTTGAATTTTTCCACATTTCATCAGTATAAATCTGAAACTGAAGGAAACCTTGAATCTTTCTTTATAAGCACAAAAATTCAACAAACTTCATTACTTCAATCTAGCTTCATTCTGTATCCACTTGGTACAAATTCAACTAAATCTTACTTTGCTAGTTTTGTTTTGACGTATAAATTTAACTTTTTTTTTTTCTACAAATCTCAGTCAAAATGCAGCTCCTTTGTTTTACCTGCTGGCTACATGGCTAAACGTTAAATTGGTAAGAGAGCCAATGGACCAGTTTCTCCGTTAAGATGGATGACCCATCAGCTTTCATAGCCGTTGATTTCTGTAGGCTGTAGCTTCTTCTAGCTTGCCTGATCTCTGCTGGTTGCTTCATACTGTGTGTAGAGCTCTTCTGTTTTCTCTGTTCTCTCCACACCAACAATGGATGTGTGTGTGTGTGTCTCTCTGCTAGAGGTTTTCACTGTCAGAGTGTCACATTGAATGCATCACACTCATGCTCTTGCATCATCTGCTCTGCCTCCCACATGCTTTAATTGATGATAATAAAGACTAGTGAGACTTTTTCCTGGTTCTCCCGACCCTCTTTTCTCTCCCAGATCGACTGCTACGACTACAACAACAGTGGCTCGCATGATTTCATCGGCTCCTTCCTCACGTCACTCTGTCAGATACAGCAGGCGTGTCAGTCATACGCTGTGAGTTCAGTTTAAACCTTTGTTTTTTTCACGACGCGTTACGAAAACACCTGGTAAACGAAAGGTGGCGGTGAAATCTGACTGGTTTGAGTCTCTTCTCCTCAGGCGGAGTTTGAATGCATCAACAGCAAGAAGAAGCAGAAGAAGAAAGGCTACAAAAACTCTGGAATTATCATCATAAAACAATGCAAGGTAAATATTTCATAAGACATTTCCTTCATAAACCAAATAAATATGTAATTTTAAAGCCATCATAATCCCAAAAAAGAAGGTTGGACTTTCTGACTAAAACATATGTGGGCATTCTAACTCTATGCCAAATGGGTATGACAGAAAATAAAAGGAGCAAGCACCTTTAATCATATATTAGTCCAATTAATTTTAATGAGGAGATCTGAATCTGCTCAGGAATACGAGTGAGATTTATTTGTCTAACATGTTTTAGAACAACGTAATCCTAATGTGACGAACAAACGTGTAAATGCCTGTCTTTCGCATTGACACATGCAGAAAGTTTTGAAAACCACGTAGTCTTTCCACTCGACAACTTTTGCTACTTTAAGGTTTCTTACTTAGGGGTGAAGTTGAGTTCTGTATTTTCCAGGTCTGGATACATTTAAAAAATGAATAAGAGTGAGGAGGAATATTTGTATTTCCTGACCTAATCGTTCCCTGTATCAGTGTTTGAAACTTTTCTCTGTTGCGTTCTTCCCTGCTCCTTTCCTCAAGTCCATCCTCGAAATATTCTTCCTTCCTTCCCTTCTGTGTGCCTTTTCTTTTTCCTTAATTCCTGTACCCTTCTTTCCTTCCTTCACTCCTTCCTTCCTGGCCTTCTAACTCCATTCCTTCCTTAACGTTGAGTCAGGAGAAGCATGAAAATCTTAAATGAAAGATGCAGTTTTCTATTATGATTATGGTGTTAGAATATGTATTTTAATCCTTATTTGCTTACAGATAGTGAAGGAGTACACATTTCTGGATTACATAATGGGCGGCTGTCAGATTAACTTCACAGTGAGTACTACAATCTATTAAAAATCATTTCCACTCTAAGAAATATCGACAAAACTTCCCATTGTGTTTTCCCATGTTTGTGTGATTTTAACGCTGATGCTCTTTATGCTTGTGGTCAGATTGCTATCGATTTCACGGGCTCCAATGGGGATCCCAGTTTACCCTCATCTTTACACTACATCAACCCTCAAGGCTACAACGAGTATCTGGCAGCGATCTGGGCAGTCGGTAACGTCATCCAGGATTATGACAGGTAAAAAGATGACGTTGAATGCATGGTGTTAATAAGGTAAACTTACTCAGACTTTAAATAAAAAGACTCGATAGAGAAAACGAGGAGCGTTGTGCAATTGTTTGCACAGGTCAGGTTAAGGATTTGCCCTTTGACCATGATTGCAACACCTTGATTCTCAATCTTTAGCCATTCTGTTGTAGATTTGATGCTGCGTTCAATGTTACATGGTTGCTAGAGGCAGACGGACATTAAATTATCTCATTATATAGTTTTTAAGTGATTCCCCCCCTATTCTGGACCTCCATACACCTCAGAGGTCACATTTGGACCAAAACATCTGAAGAATGCTTCGACCATCTTAGTTAGTCAATACCGCCAAGATTTAAGGTGGTCCTTCAGGCAAAAGGGAGCCAACCCTGGTACTAGCAGTAGGTGTACCTAATAAAGTGGCCGGTGAGATGTTTGTTGCTATAGAGAATAAATGTGAGGAAGTAAAGTCCGTCTAGTTATCAGGTCCAAGTAGAGCAGCTCTGATTAAATGTGGTTTTCTTCCCTCCATCTTAAAGTCGCCGCAGCAGAGGTTGGAAAACGTCAACACTGACTTATACCACAGCTGTAGGAACTGCATTCCTCCAGGTTCTCCCCATACTTTCCAAACACATGGGTAAACTTCCTTGTGCGCTCTGTTGGGCATAAAATAACGGAACAAATGATTTACAGCAGAGGTGAACCAAACCCATTGTCCTTCTGAATGAGGTCCTTAAAACTCATGGGACACTCACTGCAGAATGACCAGGGGAAAGTGTATGTCTTAGTCCTCCATGTTGCTTAACTCCCCTTGACCAACATTCTTACTTGCATAACTTCCTTTCCACAGTGACAAGATGTTCCCCGCCTTTGGTTTTGGCGCAAAGCTTCCTCCAACATGGCAGGTGATTGATTTTAGCTGTCTTATACTTTAAAAAAAATAAAATAAGAGCTCACCCTGGATTTGCGTACCTTGTCCAGAAACGTTCGTTTGACATAATTAATTGCTCGTCTGCAGGTCAGCCATGAGTTCCCCATCAACTTCAACCCCTCAAATCCATTCTGTGCAGGTAAGACCTAGTGAATCTTTAATGTCTCACAGGAAGTTAAAGTTCCTTATGTTGGGGCTTCGTCTTTATTTTTTTGATGTACTACGTTTACAAAGTGGTGTATAGAAACAAGAGATCCAGATTGTTTGTGTTACCCAAATGATATCTGTTTTCGTCTGGTTTTGTAGGCATAGAGGGAGTGATCTTTGCCTATCAGCAGTGTCTGCCTCAGGTGAAGCTCTATGGTCCAACAAACTTCGCTCCAATCATCAATCACGTGGCCCATTTTGGCAGAGAGGCCTTACAGCAGCAAACCGCCTCTGTGAGTTGCAACAAATGTTTAATTAATTGCAACAGTTGAAAAGGCTTATATGTGCTGAACTTCAAACTCAAATGTATTTTCTGGAAATTTGACTTGCTTGACCAACATGTATGTTGTTTTTCAAACGGAAATCTGAAAAGTTGTGTGTACTAATGTCTTCTTCAGAGGACAGTATTATATACTAAATATATACTAAATTGACATTATTGAACTTTACATCATGGTATAATGTTATTCCCTCATCAAAATCATACCTGGAGTGTTGCCTTGATTCTTTGATGCATGTTTGAGAAATCCTATAATCTCCCATGGCAACCATTCAGCTGTGCAAAACACCTGGGTGGACCTACCTAAGCCTTCGAGAACGAACCTCCTCCTCAGAGCTGCAGTTTCTGAGCTTCTGCCTCACATGGCAGAAGCTCAGAAACTGAGCTTCTGCCATGTGACAAGTCAGCTGGAATTAGCAAACACCTGGGGGAGCAGGGCATCTGTTGAGCAGTGCAACACTGGTAAAAATGTTGCTACAGGGTTAATAGAGGAGCCATGTTGTGATGACTTCCTGAAGGCGGAGTTTCAGAAAGAGCAGGAGTTTCTTAAAGAAGCAGAGGCCCAATTTCAAGGCGTTGAATTACGAAGTAGAATTTGTTTTTAGTCATATTTGATATATAGCATTTTTTAACAACTGAAGTGAACATAGTGACTTGATTATGCTATAAAATGGCACTATGTGCCTGGAAAGCACATAATGGTGTCCCGTTAATTTAATCTCACCATAAATTCTCTGCATTGTCTCCCATCTCCTGCAGCAATACTTCGTCCTGCTGATCATCACCGACGGAGTCATCACCGACATGGATCAGACGCGCACGGCCATCGTCAACGCCTCGCGGCTGCCCATGTCCATCATCATTGTCGGCGTGGGAGCGGCGGACTTCAACGCCATGGAGTTCCTGGACGGAGACGACGGAGTCCTGCACTCGGCCACGGGCGAGGCCGCCATGAGGGACATCGTGCAGTTCGTGCCATTCAGGCAGTTCCAAAACGTAAGCTCCAGCGCGCCCCAACGTGCAGATGTGCTCCACCGCGGACGTTGTTTTAAGTGTCGCACATCTAATTTCAGGCAGGCACTGCAGCACTCGCACAAAGCGTACTGGCAGAATTGCCTGACCAAGTGGCCTCCTTCTTCAATTTATTTGACCTGAAGCCCCCCAGCGACCCCTGTCCTTCCTAGACATGTACGACTATCCCATCCTGTTTTTCCAACTTGTTTTCCTCCCTCAAATTTTCATTTTGGTTTTTAACAAAATTGTGAAAGCCGTATTATAGTAATAATACATCTATCCATTTCCTGTACACCCTTGTCCCTTTATGGTAATAATGTCTTTATTTATTTAATGTCAATGAATCTTCTTTTTTGCATTCTATGCAAATACCTGATTTCAACTTTATGCATAGCAATGCTAACCCGAGCCTTTCTTTAGCTGCTTGTTCTTTGGCTTCTTTTTCACATTGCGTATATCATTTTTGTATTTGTCCGTCCTCCATTGTTACCGTCCCTGTTTCTCCTTTCTCCAGGGTCCTCAGGAAGCTCTTGCTCAGAGCGTCCTGGCAGAAGTGCCGGGCCAGGTGGCGGGCTTCTTCAATACCATGAAACTGAGCCCACCTCACAGCAACGATCCTCCCTCTGACCACCTGGCATCGGCGCCCCCTAGTGATGCATGCTGAGAACCAAACTTCCTCCGAAAGAATGACGAGTCCCCTTCAACTCTGAAGCCTCTTTGTTAAGGCGCGTCAGTGTTTTGAACCTAGCCTAGCATGGCTTATGCCGAGGAATGGACATGTTGCGGTATGTTAACACTTTGCAGCTGTTTTATATAACACTCACATTTACCAGGCTTATCCTCGTTAAACGAGACATTTTATGACATTACATATATTTGCTGACACAGTCTTACGGCACTCCGTCACTGTTCTTTAACCTGCATCTTCAGCCCACCTCTATTCTGCCTGTGTCAGAGTTGAGGTGCATCTTTCTTCCGCTGTGTCTCCTTTGCCATTGTTACACAGTCTGTTAAATCAAATTAGCCCTTCAGAAACCATAAAAGATGGTTTTGCTGTATGAGGAAGCAAACAGCATCTCATCACAGAAATACTTACAGATTTTATTTTCTCATAAGATGTGTTAAATTATTTTAGTTTAACTAAAAAATAAAAAAAAGAAAACACCAAATAAATTGGGTAGAAATACTTGTTTAAACTTTGGTTAATAACTACAACATTAGGTTTGTAACCCTCGTGTTTCTTGCGCTGTAATTTTTAAAAGGGAGAACATTGAGAACTATTGCTTCTATAAGTAAAGTGTTTATTTAGCAGGTACTGACTTAGTAGCAGTCGTGGTTTTTGATCTGAGTTGTATGACTCACCACCCAGACTGGCATGACCTACATCTAAAAAAGGTTACCAGTTTTAGATGATTTGGTTGATTGATTGATTGATTCAACCAAATCAATCAATAGATGAAATGTTTTGAATAAATTCATGTTTTATTTTTCCAAGAATGAGGCAGCTAATATCGGCCATCTCCTCAGTCTATCAGTGCTGAAGTCCGATGATATAAACTTAGTTTTCTCCTTGATCCCCATTTTACTGCAGTTACTTCCTTGTGGGTCTCTATATGTTATGCGGTCCCACAAAATGTAAATAGGTCTTAGGTGTCAAAGCGAAAGCTTGTCAAATGTTTACAAAATGGATCAGCTATATGTCACTATTAATAATGATTTGTGCAGAATCAAATTTATGCTTAATTTGACTGATCACTTGGTGCTTCTATGCAAGTGGACTGGTTCTTTATTAGCATAATCAGGGAGACCTAATAGAGAAAATGTTTTACACACTAAACATATGCACATAATAGAAGATGTTCACTTTGCCTTAACAAGCGACCAACTAGAGAACCCTTGTATGTACATTTTATAATTTAGTAAAAATGTAAAAATTCATTTTTGACTCATGTATTGCCTTATGTCATATCTCTTTGTTATATGTGTTGATTCTGTCTGTACTTTGTTTTTGTTCCATGCTATGCAAAATGAAAATCAAGATGATCAAATAATTACTGGCTTATGATGTTTAATCAAATATGTAACAATTGGTATATGAGACAGGCTTACAGTGATTCAGATACACAATGGCATTTATGTAGAATGTTAGTTGTTATATATTAACATCCATAGTCAATTATCAGTTTTCTGATAGTCTTACAAGTCATTCCTCAAGAAAACAACAAAACACTCCTATATTGTTCATAACAAGTAAATACTAAAAGATTCAGCATGTTGGATGTCTGTTTTTCTGTTCTTTTTACATTTGCTAAAATACCAACAACACAAAAAGCTGAGCATTTTACAGGTTAATAAAAAAATAATAATTTTGAAGAGTTTGTGTTTGTGTCTGGTTTATTTGTGCAATTGGTACTCCTTGTGAAAATGTGAAAATGATCTAAAAATAAAGTAATTTTTCATTGCATGAGGATAGTCTTACATGACAAAAGGTAGAAAAATAAAACATTAAATGTTCAAATTAATTATTGCCCTGTCAGTCTGAATTCAGTTTTGAAAAATAGCAACTACGAACACCGACATCGTGCCTGGAATACTTGGCAGAATGACCTGAAGACCAAGAACTTATTCTCTCTGAATGCTACATTTGGTCACATTACAACTACAAAGATCAATTCATTTTAATGGGATGTTTTTGACTGAATAATACAAACTGCCTTAAATGCTTACTTATGAAAGAAAGATGTTGTTTGTTTTTTTTAATCTGTAAAGTTTTGGGTAAATTTGTATTCAAACTTATATGGGTCAGTACCCTTTGGATACGTCTTGAATTGAAACTCAGAAGCTGAAGAAAGGCATTACCACATCATTACTCTACCAAGACCTTGCTTCACAGTGGGGATGACATATTCAGGGAACCACATTGGTCACATTAGATTTTGATGTCACTGGAACAGAGCAGTTTTTCCATGACTTGACATGGAAACTTGTAACGTGACAAAATATGACACAGTCCAAAGGGAATGAATACCTGTCGTAACTTTAATGAGTATTTTTATGGTTTAAAAGAAAAACATTAGGAGAATATTACTCACTAACATCAAAAGCGTAATTGTTTCCCCTGCTTTTACTGACAACGCTACCAAGATAAAACCCAGAGTGAACTCCAGAGTAGTCACGCCTCTGGCAATGGAAAGTATGTTACAATGAATAGACTGAACGCTATTGATAACCATTGACTTTGACTGCAGCAGTTGCTCCGCCTCTCTGGCTCCTTTCAGGAACGACGCTGTTCATCTCCAGAAAGAAAACCGACTATTCGGTCATAGTTGGGCGTAGCTTCTACTAAACCGGGGGGGAATAATTACTCTGCAGCAAGACAGGAGGGCCAGATTAAGTGCGCATTAATTGAACTATTATTTATAAGCGGCGACGTGGAAGTTGTTTCCTAGGGTAAGCTTGGATTTAAATTTTCTTCGAAATATGCGGAAGTTGACGTGGTAACCCAGCTAATTAAGTCAGATGTTATTAATTTTATGTGTCTTGTTTGGTTGTTAGCTTAAGTTAGCGGTATTACTTTTTCCTCTCTTTTTTACGTACGCATTAACTTTTTACTGTATGTCCCATGTCTGTTATCATTAGCGGCTGCGCTACTGCGAAGCGTACGTCAAAAGCTATTTACCACTTTTTAACTTACTCAGCAAGCTGGAGTGTTGGTTGCTACAGTCGCGGCAGCAGCTTTAGCTCCCAGTATTATCTGTACTGGGTTAGTGTGGTGGGTGTAACGGACTGGGTGTGTTCCCCATCTGCAGGGACGACACTCGAAGTTAAGCTGAAAAACAAAATACTGTCTATACAACCAACATTTCCCCCTTTTTCCTTCTGTTTCCTCAATATTTTTGTTGGCTAAACAGTTCTCGACGTTGTGTAATTTGGTGTGTTGTTGCCTGCATGGTTTCTACCGCTTGTTAGCAGGAACATGGCTGCCCAGTGTGTAACCAAGGTGGAGCTCACCGTGTCCTGTGAGAACCTCATGGACACAGACTTCGGCTCCAAGTCGGACCCCTTATGTGTCCTTTTAATGTGCAACTCTGACTCCAAGTGGTATGAGGTCAGTAACATGAGCAGCATAAACTGTTTTGATTTCAAAATTAGATACAAACGAGTTATTAAAGTGTGAATAATCATACTTCATAACTTTTATTGCTTAAAAAAGGCTACGTATATGTTGAATATTGCTACTTTTATTGCTAGTTATAGTGGTGGGGAAAAGAAAGCTTTCATGATGCAATACACTCCACTGGTTCAAGACAAAATCTAGTGCCTTGTTTGTTTGTTTTTTTATCACTAAAAAATGTACACCGACACTAAAAACACAGCTTGTTGTTGAAGTGTGGATTTCCTCTGCAAAGTTACCAAAAAGTGCACAGAAGAAACAAACCCAGCTATTTTCTCATAGTATTTAGGCCAATGACGTCACGAGAGGCATTTGCATTGACCCAAAATCTAGACCTCAATCTGAATGAAATGAGTGCAGACTTAGTGCAGTACATTCAACAACGATATGAGACCGAAGGTGACCACTTCAGCTTATTGCTGGTTAATAAGTTGAAGTGGTTACATAACTGCCAATAAATTCACAATTTATTGACTTTCATGGAACCTTTCTTTCTGAATGTTCAATCTCATCAATGCTATTATCAGTGTTGCATTAATCATTAAGACCCTGACTTATAGGTCAACATATGCTCTTTATGTTGCTCTTTATGTTAAGATTTGTAACACTTCTCTCCTGCGTCATGTCTTTCCCAACAGATGGGACGCACAGAAAAAGTTCAAAATTGTCTCAGTCCGAAGTTTGCCAAGAAGTTTGTTATCGACTACTACTTCGAAATGGTCCAGAAGCTGAAGTTTGGGATTTACGACATCGATAACAAGACGGTTGATTTGAACGACGATGACTTTCTGGGGGAGCTGGAGTGCACCCTGGGTCAGGTGAGGCTACCTTTTCTGAAACAAAACGACACGTTTTGCAGGAGTTGCTGCGATTTTATCTCTGGTAAACCATTGCTGATGAGACTCTGTGATGTTTCCTCTGATGTTCACTCATCCATGCTGTTATGGATGTCTTTTGCCCAGCAGGCCTCACTGCTGCCTTGTTTTACTCATCATCTGTTCTGCTGACTAAATCTTTTGATTCATCTTCTCTTTTTTTTTTTTTTTTTTTTTTTCCCCCCACTTAGGTTGTGTCCAGTCGGAAACTGACCCGGCCACTTACGCTGAAGAACCAGAAGCCAGCTGGGAAGGGAACAATCACTGTAAGGTTCAGCAAAAGGCAACAGGAAGAACGTTGTCTGTTTTGAACTCCTCTGTTTAATGCATCTACATTTTGTGTTGCAGATCAGCGCGGAGGAAATAAAAGACAATCGGGTGGCGCGTTTTGAGGTGGAGGCAAGAAAGTTGGATAACAAGGTAAGGATATTTCTGTTTGTGCTGCATGCTATTTATTCCTCAACATTTGGTTACATTTTATTCTGCTGTGTATTTCTGTAGGATTTCTTTGGGAAGTCTGATCCTTATTTGGAGCTATACAAGCAGACAGAAACCGGATGGCAGCTGGCTCACAGGACAGAGGTAACACCGTCTGTACGGCTTCTGGTTGCATAAAAGAACTTCTTTTCTTTCTTGTGTGTTTGATAGTTAGCATGCTGTATAGTTTGTAGCCCATTATTGTGTGTTAAGTTGCAACATATATGTATTTCATTGTTGCTACTGCTCCATTTTCATGTTGGTATTAAGTCTGAAAGCCATAAGACCTAGGATAGTATGAATGCAGTTCAATTTCTGACATAAAAATAGCTGCAAAGTAGTCACAGTTTCACCTACATTCTCAGATTTTCCTGTGGAATGCAACGAAATTATTTGTGGAAAATCCACTTATAGAGTATATCTAAAATATTCTAAAGAAAATGCAGCTTGGCAATCTCAAATACCGAGGCTAAATGCTGTTGGTTTATGTTTGTAAATTAGCCAATCCAGGAGTGGCATTTAATTTTCTTTGCGCTGATTGGCTGTAGCTCCAAGAGCTGAAATAAGGGAGGTTAGCTTTAGCAGTAGTGCTAAGACGGTTTCCTCTGTGCATATTGGTGCTTATTGATCTATATTTGTTGTTTGGCCTACATTGCACTTCAATCTTTTTATACTTTTTAAACATATTTGTTTACCGTTTCGGCTCGACACCAAAGGTTAAAAATCCACATGGTACTTCTAATCTTCCTGCAAATTCTCCTGCCAATTCAAAGACGGGAGTTATCAAGTCACACTGTAGGCACTTCCTGTCCCTTAATCTAAAATCATTTCCTGTTAGTCATTCAAAACCTTGACATTGACAGGTGCTACTTTCCTCACGTCATGCTTTTATTTTTAATGTGGCAAATGAATAGTTACACTTTATTAATATTCAGAATCCACTAGTTAAATAAAAGTCTGTATGTGTTGAAGTAAATGTTTACAGCACAAACAAATGCAGGATTTGATTTCTTACAGCTTTATAGGCAGACTATACATCATGCCTCTAATGAGAGAACATGGATTTCAGACAGAAAGGCATGTAAACATCTGAGTCATTGTTTGGTTTTCACTTTTTACCATCTGAATGGAAACAGGAACCACTTGCGATGTGACTGTTAAACCATAAACACTTTGTAATGTTTCACACTGGATCGAGCTCCCTGTTATCTGATGGCTGATCCCATTGATTTAATGAATTAAGCGTTTGCTTGAGGGCAGTAAAACTGCTTCTACATGTGAATTCAAACGGAGATGTCTTTGTCTGGCTGCTTGGTCAGTTCCAACTGTTTGCATGGAAAAAAACCATCAGTGACCATCAGGGCCGCCGCACTTCATCTGCTGCTTTCGCTGCTGTTGTGATTCAGAGCAATGTGATCTAAATATTGTAAAACCAAACTGTTAAGTATCACTGGAGGTAAATTTATGTTGTGGATGGAGAAATCTGTTTTTGTGTGATTTCCGTGAACTTTGTTTTCAGGTGGTGAAGAATAACTTGAACCCGACGTGGAAGCCGTTTCGAGTTCCCCTGCAGTCTCTGTGTGGGGGAGACCTGGAGAAACCAATTAAAGTAAATATGGTTTTCATCCTCTAAACTTGGACTAAATCTTGTCTTCCCCCGCAGTCACATTCTGATTTTTTTTCTTCAGAACATGCAAAGATGCACTAGCTTGATATTGTGTGTTTCTTTAAGCTCTGAAGCGAGCGTTTCAGGAAGGAGACAGTTTGCGGAACAAGTGAGTGATTTCGTGTACCACGGCAGTTTGTCTTTCCTCATCTTCCCATATTACGTACAGGGTGAGGTGTGAGAGTGAACGAAGTACACTGGAACACTCCAAGTGTCGTTCCTGACTTTGTGTCACCAATCAGGTTGATACAGAGACATTTGTGTGAGACACAACTTTCCCTGTTTTTACTTCCTTCCTGTCCTGTTTCTAGGAGTCATTTTTTTTCTTGCACGTTTGTTTCATCTGTGTGTTTCGTCTTCTGAGAGCCACCTCACCTAACAACAAACCACACATTTGTCCGTGAACCTTAACGAAAGCAACTTGGTTTGAGAATTGGTCAAGTTTTTGCTTTGACTTATCACTTCGTGACGATGCTGCTGCCGATTTTAGATGTAGTTTTGTGACCTGGCTAGTTTTGTGGGGTCTGCATTGGGAACAAATGCACCACCTTCCCAAAGTGTTCATATTTTGTCATGTTTCAACCACAAATTCTGATGTGCTAAGATTGTGTGACAGACCAACACAAAATGTTTGACTTTCAAAGTCATAACTATGAGATAGAAAATTGTGATTATGAGAAACAGTGTAACTTTCAACCTCATGACTTTTTAAAGTTGAAACGATAACTTCCAATCTCATATTTCTGACTTTGTATTTCATAATTCTGACCATAAAAGTCAACATTTTGACTTTTATAACTTTGAAAGTGAAACATTTTGTGTTTAAAATTCATCATTTTGACTTCCTGTTTGGCTTTTATCTTTTCTTTCACAATGGAAATTGTCTTCCATACAGAACTAACAGCTTTCCTTTAAACAGACGTTCTAACCTGAGCTGTGGATTTCTGCAGCTCTTCCAAAGTTAGCATGTTTAGCTGATAAATACTGTTGTATCGTGTCTTGGTAGGTTTTCGGTTGTGCCATTTTCAGACAGAGTAAACAGTTGGATTTCATTTGGACATATCATAGTAAAAGGGGACTGAATATAAATATACCCCACAGTTTTATTTTGTTCTTCTGCTTTACAATTATGCACTGCCTTTTGTTAGTCTGCCACATAAAGTCCCAGTAAAATACGTTGAGAGTGTAGCAAAAAAAAAAAATTGAAAAAAAAGTTTAGCTTAATACTTCCACTGTGCTGTGGCGTATTGCCTTGCTATCCAGCGCAGCTGCAGCTCATTTCCAACGTTTTCCAGGTGGAGTGCTACGACTACGACGATGACGGCTCTCATGATCTCATTGGATCCTTTGAAACCACGATGAAGCGGCTCCAGGAAGCGTCGCGGACCTCTCCGGTATGACCTTGTGTGTGCGAGCGAGTTTCATGTGAATGTCGTAGCAACCGACGCATAAAGCATCTCTTTTGCCTCCATGCCTTTTGCTCCCATTTTATGGCGTCATATTGTTCTGAAATGCCATCGTGATGGATTGGAATGTCACAGCCTATTGTAGAACAAGTCTGACAGCTGTAATTGAAAGCAGTAATGAAAGGAAAATCAGGTGGTAGCAGATCAACCTAAAGCCTGTTCTCAAAAGAAATCACTTTAGTTTATTTGATTATAGTATCCGTTATCTGAAAATCTCCGGATATTTTTTTTCTTAAGCATGAGTTTTTCTCCATTGCTCTCTTGTGATAAATTCACCAGCATCGTCTTGTTCCACAGGCCGAGTTCGAGTGCATCAACAGCAAAAAGAAGCAGAAGAAGAAAGGCTACAAGAACTCTGGTGTTGTGAGCGTGAAGCATTGCGAGGTATCTTAGTTTCTGGGCTGTTATGAATGCGGGCAATGTTCAGATTTGTGTATGACTGATTCTTTTCTCTGCAGGTTGTAAAGGAGTATACGTTCCTGGATTATATAATGGGAGGCTGTCAAATCAACTTCACTGTGAGTTTTAGCTTCAATCAAACTTGTCATCTGATTCATTTTAGGCTTTCTATTGAACTGTTCTTTTTTCCAAGCTGATATGATCGAAAATAAATAACTTTGCATCTATTATGGATCAAAATGATGCAAAGTGGCACTTTTTTGGTACCAATGAGTCTGGTACAGCTCTGTGTGGTTTCCCAGTGTTTTCAAAATTTATGAAAGTTTTTAGCATTTCACTCTCACAATCATTCAAGGCTCCAAATTAACGTGACACTATATAAGTGTAGTTTCTGACTGCAACGGGAGATGTGCTGTTTTTATGCATCCATGTTGGTCCAACAGGTGGCTGTGGACTTCACCGGCTCCAACGGGGATCCCAAGTCTCCTCAGTCCCTGCATTACATCAGTCCTCAGGGCGTTAACGAGTACCTCTCTGCTATCTGGTCCGTGGGCAACGTCATTCAGGACTATGACAGGTAAAAACACGTTTTCTTTTATTTTAAATAAAAACATTTTCCATTCCTCTTACTACGTTACATCAGAAGCTGTGGCGTTGTGCAAGTCACATGAAGAAATTTCAGCAAGAATGTGTTTTTATATATATATATATATATATATATATATATATATATATAAATTTTTATTTTTTTTACCCGTTTCAACAGTTAGATTTGTCTCCTATTCTCAGTGATAAAATGTTCCCGGCGTTTGGCTTTGGAGCCCAGATTCCACCCACATGGCAGGTAAAGCTCATGTTGCGACACGACACTCCTAATCCCTCCAGAACACCTGAACCGAGGCTTTCTTATCGACCGAAGGTTTGAAACACATGATCTCCTTTTACAGGTTTCCCACGAGTTTCCTCTCAACTTCAACCCCTCCAATCCGTTTTGTGCAGGTGTGTTGGCTTATCTCTGAAGCGCAGTTGCTACTGGAGGTGTCAGTTTTTGTTGAACTAATGCTAGTCTGATCTACCATCATGGTGCAGGTGTTGAAGGGGTGGTGCAGGCCTACAGGGCGTGTCTCCCTCAGGTCAAACTCTACGGCCCTACCAACTTCTCCCCCATCATCAATCACGTAGCCTGTTTTGCTAAACAAGCCATCCAACAGACCACTGCATCCGTGAGTATTCATAGTGTCCTGATTTCTTTATTTGGTAAAGGTTGACGCTTTGCGTCTCAAACGTGAAGCCGTGTTCCCTGTGGATTCGACGCGGTTGTCAAGGCAACAGAAATGGTGATAAAACGTCAAAATCTATATATGGTTACCAGACATTTCCTGATAAATATTAAGAAGTAGCAGAAACGCATGTAGAAAGAAAAACTTTTTAATTTATCTACACTTTTGAGGATTTATTTGCAGTTCTGTAAACATGACACAGAATCGCCATGGATATAGATGTCATAATTTTGAACTTAAGATGTTTATGTATGTATTCTTCAGGGTAACATAACTATACATCATTAGCCAAATTTCCATTACAAATATGCGCAAAAGTTTATCGATATTCCACTTAATGTCGGAAAAACACTTTTCATTCAATATGAAACACAGTTAAAATCACACTTAAATAACTTTGCTCACGCAGTAAGTTTGTCAATAAATTATCCTCCTACTACTTCATGTCATCCTTTTCGTCTTTTCCACCAGTAGTATCGTTCGATTATTGATCACGTGACTCGTGTGATGCAAAAAAAAAAAAAACACCCCATTCTAACGCGAAAACTTTGTCTTTTACTAGAGGTGGCAGAATGAGAAGACGGACCATAGGTTCTTTAACTTCACCTTGAATAAATAGCTGGAATGTTTCTGGGTGTTTGAATATCACAGCGATCGCAATCACACATCAAAACTGGTTTTCATACACACTTAAACAGTAAGCACACTTAAAAACTTGGTACATACTAGGAAACCAACCAATTTAAAAGATCTATATCAGTTCATTTTATACGACTACAAAATGTAGCAACCTAGACAACATTTAACCAAATGTTAGTCTAAGTCAAGTCCATTGCAATAAGCAAATAAACAATTAATCTATTGATTGCATTCGAATGACTTACATTTTTCGAAGGACAATTTTGTTTACAGAGACTTCATAATCAATTTTATGTATGGTTTTGGTTATGTGTGCTCTTTTAAATCCATTTAGTTTACTGTTTTACTTTGATATGTAAAATGTCTTCTTGTTCCAGTGTGGAGTCATCTGTACAAAATGAAAGTTTATTTGTCTTCGAGAGGGCAAAACTTAAGCCATTCTGAAAATATTAATTGAAGATTATGACAAAACATTATTATAATTTATTGCAATGCTTTCTGGGAGAATTTATCCATCTATATATATATATATATATATATATATATATATATATATAATGTATGGTTGTTAATTAATCAGACTGTATGTATCACTATATGTACAAAATGATACATTTTTAACAAATTGATACATCTAGTCTGACTGATCTGATCAGTCAGAACAAGTAGCTTTTTTCATAGCTGAAGTTTAAAAAATGAACTAAATACATAAATCATGGGGATATTTAGACTAATGTGACATTCATGTCCATGATGAGTGTGTGAACTTGTTCAAAAATTTTAATTTGCATGCATTCTTCAGTCCCTTCTCTCTCCACTTCCTGTGTTTACGAGCCAGTTTCCTGTTTTAATCTCCCCAAAGAACGGCTGTATCCATAGCAACATACCCGTAGCACAGCGCATTGTTTCTCTGTTTATGAAGTTATTAGATTACTAACTTGTTCTCCCCCTTGCAGCAATACTTCGTCCTGCTGATCATCACTGACGGAGTCATCACCGACATGGATCAGACGCGCAACGCCATCGTCAATGCCTCACGGCTGCCCATGTCCATCATCATCGTCGGCGTGGGAGCGGCGGACTTCAGCGCCATGGAGTTCCTGGACGGAGATGACGGCCGCCTGCGCTCTCTGTCTGGCGAGGCCGCCATGCGGGACATCGTCCAGTTCGTCCCCTTCAGGAATTTTCAGAACGTGAGTTTGTCAAGTCCAGTTCACCAAACTTCTTTTCACCAAACTTCTTTCTGTTTCTCTCTGCTATGTAGGAGATAGAATAGGGAACGGCATTTAATTTCAACTGATTCATCTTCAATTCTCCGTTTTAGGAAGCTAACCCATTGCTATAAAATCTGCATGCATTTCACTTGGTCATTTTTTAAATTTTGATTCAAAATGGGAGTGCTGTCATAGCAGAGCAAAGTCCCTACGCAGCGTCTGATACCTCAAATCAATGGAGGCCAAGGCCCTCAGCAAAGAGCTCACTTAGTTCTTGTGCTTACATTGTTTATCCCTCTTTCTTTCAGGCGCCCAGCCAGGCTCTTGCTCAAAGCGTATTAGCCGAGTTGCCTCAGCAAGTAACCTCCTTCTTCAGTTTACACAAACTGAAGCCTCCCCAAGATCCAAGTCCTTCTTAGGGGTACACATGCCTGTAATAAATCATGTCATGCCTTTATAAACAACTGCCTTAAGTCAATACTTTTAATATTTGTTTTGGCTGATCTGATCACAGATGGACAACTCCGAGCTCATCTATTCACATCTAGCACTGATGTGAAGAGATGTACCTGAACTGACCTGTTATCAGAACTTAGTTGCCAGCCTGGGAGAAATATTTACACACTTTGAAACTTTTCACATTAAGTGATTTTTACAACAATAAGCCTCAGTGTATTTTCCTTGGATTTTATATTCCATAGTTAAATATCTCACAATTCATTGTTGAGTCCCATCATCAGAAATCTGCCCCTCTTTGGAAGGATAAAGAAATAAAGGCATTGTTGCTGCAAGTTTTCACAATGGCTTTCAATAATTTGGCTAAAAAAGTACAAAGCCTTCAATTAAAAAAAAAAAGACGTAACAAATGCAGAATTTGCAGTTTATTTTTTTGTTTAATTTTTACAACAGAGCAACACCAATATTGGACATCTACATGCATGTGACACTGGACAGTTGAGGTTACCAGTAACGCACTGCTAACACAAGTTTGTTAGCTAACATGCAAGCTAACTAACTCATTTGGCTAATGAACTAATTAGCAAGGTTAAATATCTAAACCTCCCAAACCCTAGTTAGCTGGCAAGCTAGCTTTTTTACTGACTAGCTAACATTATATTTTTAAGCTAGGTGGACAAAATTCATTCTGTGGAGAAATGCATGAATTGCTATCTAACTAAGTTAGTTAGCTAAGTGACTAGGAAAAATATCTGAACCCACCAAACCAGTTAGCTTGCTAGCTAGCTTTTTTTGTGTTTGTCATTTTATTTTTAAGTTGGCTGGATGAAATCTATACATTTCTATGGAGACACGGGACTTAAATTTCATTCATAATGGTCTTACAAAGGTCTAGGAAAGTCTGAAAGTTGTGTTGGTGAAACCCCGATAAAGCTTTGTTTTTAAGGGTCAGATCTGATCAGTCAGAGCAAATGTTAGCTTTGGATCTGAAAAATTTCTCGCTAATCAAGCGCTTGAAACATTAGAGATAGGGATTTCCTCATTTTGACCTCTCTGCTGTCTAACATTTACTAACATTCACTTGAGACTCTTGCTCATGCTGAAACGGAGATGGTTATAGATTCAATTGCACCACCATTGCTTTTTCTATGCAATGGGGTTTTGATGCTACAAAAGAAATTAGCTTGTGGTGGCTAACAGGCCTCTTTTCTTATTCTACAGTATTTAAAACCTGACTTGTAATGAAATCACTAAAAATAAATATAAATCTTCTTTTCAGCTGCCTCCATCTGCATGGCATCCTTCTAGTCTCTCTCTCTCTCTCTCTCTTTCTGCCTTCTACTATATCAGCTTCTAAATAACAAAATGAATCGGTATGCTCTATGTTTTGACCTTCTAAAAACTAAATCTCCTGTTTTCATGCGTCAGGCTCCTAGTGAGGTGCTGGCGAAGAGCGTGTTGGCCGAAGTGCCGGCTCAGCTGGTGGACTTTTTCTGCACTATGAAGCTGAACCCACCAAACCAGAGTCCTGCCCCGGCGGAGACGCCCGTGATGCCATAAAGAAACCTGACAGATTCCACTCTTCATGTCATGCAGCTCTATATAACGGACAGCGCTGTCATGTTGGTGTGTGCACTAAAGTGTCAATTGAGCCAGCTGTCGACAACATCCAGGTTAGTTTGTTAATTTTATGTGTACAGAAAAAAGAATCCTGGTGGATACATCTGGACAAGCCGAGATTTAAAGTTCTAAATTTGCCCTTAAAGATCTGAGTTTGCATGGTAGTTTACTCTACACTGCTGATCAAAATCTTAAGATCAGTCAAAAAGTTGCAAGAATTTGCATTTTGCACTATTGGATCTTAAGAAGGTTCTAAGTAGAGCTTCACAATGTTAAAAGAAGAAATTAGTGTAAGAGACAAAAACTTTTGAGCGGGGAATTAATTGAAAACTGCATTTACACTCAAACATGATTTTTTCAGCTGATCAAAAGTTTAAGACCATAGCTCAAAAAACCCCAAAAACCCCCCAAAACAGAAATCAAAGTGTCAAAAAAAAGGACTCAGTAATGAGTAGCTCCACCATTCTTGTTGATGACTTCAAACAATCGTTTAGGCATGCTTGATGCCAGTGTTTCCAGGAGGCTAGTGGGAACGTTGCTCCAAGTGTTGAAGATGGCTTCACGAAGGGCATCCACTGTCTGGAACTGATGTCCATTTTTGTAAACTTCCCTTGCCATCCATCCCCAAATGTTCTCAATTGGGTTTAGATCCGGGGAACATGCAGGATGGTCCAAAAGAGTGATGTTATTCTCTTGGAAGAACTCCTTTGTCAGGCGGGCATTGTGAACTGCAGCATTGTCCTGTTGAAAAACCCAATCATTACCACACAGACGAGGGCCCTCAGTCATGAGGGATGCCCGCTGCAACATCTCCACATAGCCAGCTGCTGTTTGACGCCCCTGCACAACCTGAAGCTCCATTGTTCCATTGAAGGAAAACGCACCCCAAATCATGATGGCGCCCCCACCACTGTGCCGTGTAGAAAACATCTCAGGTGGGATCTCCTTGTCATGCCAGTAACGTTGGAAGCCATCAGGACCATCAAGGTTACATTTTTTCTCATCAGAGAAGACAACTTTCTTCCACCTTCCAATGTCCCATGTTTGATGCACCCTTGCAAAGTCCAAACGGGCAATTTTGTGGCGTTGAAGAAGACGTGGCCTTTGAAGACGTCTTTTGTTTCTGAAGCCCTTCTCTCGCAGATGCCGTCTGATGGTTATTGGGCTGCAGTCAGCACCAGTAATGGCCTTAATTTGGGTAGAGGATCATCCCGCGTCTTGACGGACAACCAATCGGATCCTGCGGCTCAGAGCTGGTGAAATTTTTTGGGGTCTACCACTTGACTTTTTTGTTCCATTACCCTCAGGATCATTTAAAAAATGCAAAATGACTGTCTTACTGCCTCCAACCTCAGCTGCAATGGCACGTTGTGAGAGGCCTTGCTTATGCAGCTCAACAATCCAACCACGTTCAAAGTCAGTGAGCTTTTTTTGCTTTTGCCATCAGGAGGTCTTGACAGTGTAAAGACTTGACAGAAAAAATGACATGGAATCCAGATTTTTGCACAGCTTTTGGCTTTTAAAGATTATGGTCTTAACTTTTGATCAGCTGAAAAAATCATGTTTGAGTGTAATTGCAGTTTTCAGAAAATTTCCTGCTCAAAAGTTCTTGTCTCTTGCACTGATTTTTTTCTTTAACATTGTGAAGCTCTACTTAGAACCTCATTAAGATCCAATAGTGCAAAATGCAAATTCTTGCAATTTTTTGACTGGTCTTAAGATTTTGATCAGGAGTGTATATTGTCAAAAGTATTGTAATGCATTCCTTTATAAACTTCAGTCCCATTCTGAATTCATTGGCATTAACATGATGATGGCCCACCCTTTGCTCCTGTTGTTGTTTCACCTCCCTTTGGAAAGTGACATAAGTTATGTGGGATTTTTTTTTTTTTTTTGCATTTGTGAGGTCAGACATGGATATTCGATCACAATGTCATTATAATTGTGCCAGAGACTCATCATCAGATTGAGCTCCTCTTCGCCAAACTTCTTTGTGGACCTTTCTGTGTTGCTTGCTGTCCAATTCAATAATACTTCATAGATCCTAAAAGGAAATTAAATAATTAAATGTCAACTATGTGGAGCTGTTCCCACATAGTTGAGGATATTAATAATTTTGCAAAGCACAAGTCTTCTGTGTATGTCTTGCTTGTTGGATTTTCTCATCAGAAACTAGAAATCAAAATAAAGGTAGTGGTTTTATTTTTGTTTTGAAATAAAAATATTAACTTTAATGATTTTCTTTTTTTTTTGGTGGGTAAACCAGAAATGTAGATTTGATTTTTTTATATATATCTAAAATGATAAAATAAATCAATAAAAAATAATTAAACATTGCCTTATTTTCATAATCTGATTCTCTTATCTTGGGCTGGCAGTATATGCGTCACCATGTGACGTCAATGCCCAAATATGGTAACGGCTTTGTCGAGCTCGCCATGCCATTAAAAATCGACCAATTTGTTTTTTCATTTAAATGCATATCCTTGTCCAATTTAATCTATTTTAAACGTTTGTTAGTTTTATCTCTATATATTTACCTGCATATCTGTTTTGTGGTGGGGAAAAAACACATGAGAGCACTTTGTGGGTACCAGGCGTGACGGTGTCTCCCACGGTCACAGTGCAAGTCTCAACATGTTCTTTTTCTAAGCACGAGACAAATGCTCTGCTTCTCTGTTCTTCATGAAAACTTTTCAATTTCATGTTTTGTGTTTGCATTGAGTTTAATTGATGGTTTCTGATGAGAATACTAAAAAACCAACAAAGCCCAAGTGATCCACAACTACAGATTTGTCTCTCAGACATGAACCAACATATCAGTATTATATACGCTAGTGCTCTCAACACCAGTGACAGTTTTGAAAATGGAAGCAAATGTTTACATTTTAAGTGTTTGTATGTTGCCATTAGTTTAAATGTAACTTTTTGACCATATAATGTTCATTTGATAGCTCCTTCCTGTTCTATTCCAGCTGCTTTGCACTTAAATCAGTAGTGGACGATGTGCCTTGGAGCGTCCTGCTTGCTAATAAAACACTTCAATAAAATATGTTTTCTTAATCGGGTCAAGTCTATGCCTCTGAGATGTACGCTGCTACCACCTAGTGGTGAGAAGGTGGCACGACAACCTCACCAAATCAGTGTAGTTACCAGGTACAACTCAAAATAGAAAGTCTGCAAAAAAAGTTATTTTAGAAACTGAATTCAAAGAGTGGAACTCACTATATGGCCTTATTACTGCCAAATGATATTAAGGTGTTTATTTCTGTTCTTTTTGAGTAGGAGTTTATTTTTAAAGAATGTAATGAATATATTTTGGGTTACACTCTTATGGAGAAGATTGCACTTTTGTCCACATGAAAGGTGAGCCACGAAATGTCATTTTTAAAGAATCTGGGTTTTCTGAACACTGTATCCAAGCTTATGAGAGGAACATTAAGCGGTAAAGAAGGTTTCACTAAAGTAGTTTAAGTAAAGAAAGTGCCACAAGCTCATCTCTTCCATGCATCTCAATTTACCATACAACTGCGCAGTTTGACATTTCGAAAATAAATTAGCTTAATGGAAAGACGGCAATTTGGAAAAACTCATCTTTCAATGAAATCAAAATCAGTACGGAGGAAAGACAAACTGTAAAAGTGTACAAGGACACGTCTTGTTCACTGCTATCACTGTAGACCAAGAGAGATTTATTACAGCTACTGACACCATTAATCAGGCACTTGAACTTTTTCATACAAAAATAATCTACTTCTGATTAGGTGACGGCTACATTGCATTCTTGTATCCCAACAAACGTTAGCAGTTTTGTATTCACTCATTGTTCGGCATACCAGCACTACTTTCTGTCTAGACTGACTCAGTTCCTTGAGCTTTCTCCTGAAGCAAAACGCCGTTGCCATTGGCAACAGCAGATTACATTCAGGACCCCCGCAGCTCAGCGTTAAAAGTTCTTGAAGACCTCCTGAACGCGGTTGCATACAAAATCTCCGTCTCCGTGGTCACATGCGGTGGATGTTGCTGTGATCCATGAACTCTTTCAGGTTGTGCAGGTTGTCCCACCACTTGAAGAGGAAAGTGTTCGCGATGAGGCCGAACCAAGGCGTTACGTCCAGCTCCTTCCGCTCAGCCTTCTCCAGCATCGCTTTGAGCTCCTCTTTGCTCACGTAGCAGTGGCTTTTTATCTCGTTGGGGTCTGGACTCAACTCCACGTCCTACCGGAAAAGCAGGGAAAAGTCTTCAAAATCGGAATGAAACGCGCTGGAATTTGTGGTTGTGACATGACAGAAGACAGTTGGGGTTCATATAATTCAAGCACCTTTCCCAGCATTTTTTTCAAAGTAAGACCGCCAGACTGTAGATAAAAATATAAATGATCTAAAACAAGACATTTATTACTGTTGATAATGTCTATTCTACATCCTACAGCAAGTACAAGGTAAGCTAATATATATATATATATATTTTTTTTTTATGTTTTGAAATGTCTCTTACACTCTTGAACACCTGATTGGCCGAAGAACAAAACAATTTTTTTTAAAAATCCAATGTGTAAAATACAAGTCAACCTTTACATCAATTAAATCAAGTTGCATTTCCATTACAAATGTTCCCAAAACTGTCAAAGTGAAAAAAACAGTTTCACAATTCACAACTTTATTTTTCAAAATATCAAATTGCACAATCCTGTGGTCAATGGAAATGCAACTACTGTCACTGGGAATAATAAATATTCATTACATGGAAACGATCCACAAAAATTGTATTAAGGTAAATATCATTCCCACTCAAATTAAATGCTTAAAAAAAATACACAATAAAAGTGACAAAAATCTATAATAAAATATTTTCACTAATTTTCCTGGCATTTAACAATTTTGATAATTCTAAGTGACCTAAAACAGAAACGTTTAGTCTGATTTAATTCCAGACAGTGAGAAAAAAAAGTGTCATCTTATTAGGTGTAATGAAAATATCTGGCTTCAACTGCAAATAATGTCTTCCATATTTAGGCTTTAAATCAAATGTTGTATTGCACTTTATTATCAAAGTGTGCTGTTTGAATATCAAGCACTTTCAAGGACTTTATATAGAAATCAAGCACTTTCCAAACCTTAGACACCTAAATGAAACTCAGGCAGTATCGTCCTTACAACAGGAGCGTTGATTAGAGATCGGATCGAGTCGACCCACCTTCTGCATGAAGAGTATATAATCGATCTCATGTTCTCCCCACACCCCGTCGGACTGCGCTTTGTAGTGGATTCTTGTCAGGTACGTCATCTCCTCTGGTGGCACCTGGAGAACAAAAGCAGATCAGACTTGGAACGAAGATGTGGCTCAATCCTCTCTAATCCTCCTCCAGCCAGTGCTTCCCACCTGCTCCAGGGGGATTCCCAGTTCAGCCTGGAGTCTCCTCTGGGCAGCCTTCCTCACACCCAGCGCGTCCCTCTCCTCCAGCTCGCTGTCCATGTGCAGAGGATGACTGCAGCATGTGTTTGTGAAGCAACCTGCATGTGGGGAGAAAAAGCCAGCTGAAGCCATTTCTGATTAATTATTAGGGCAGCAGCTAACAACCACTTTAGTAATCAATTATTCTGATGATTAATCGATTTAAAACTAAAATAATGGGGGCACTTTGCAGATTTTTCATCTAACCGCTTAAGCTTATTTTATAAAAACTAAAAAAAAAAAAAAAAGTTAAATTCCCTTTTTTATGTATGAAAATAAACATTTTATTGCCTAAAATGGAACAACATAGCATTCTTTTGGTGCACTTGATGATTTCTGGAGGACACATCTGCAACTAAAAAAAAATCTAACATTATTTTAACAGAATTTTAACATAAAACTAGTTCCAAACAAAACACTTTTAGACTTTTCTACATCTTAATACAAAATGTATATATATTGTACTGTTTTGGCTTAATTACTACTGTGAATATGTTTTTTTCAGCAACTTGTGCTTCCCAGTTAATGATTAATCGACTGCTAAATTAGTGGATAATTATGTCAATAGTCGATTCATCGCGATTAATGTGTCAGCCCTACAAAATATGTTGTGTGGTGGCAGGGACCTAGCGTTTCTCACCTGGGAAGGTGATTTTAGCATCGGATCTCTGCTGCAGGAGCAGCTTCTCCTCGCTGTTGAAAAGGAAGACGCTGAAGGCTCTGTGCAGCAAGCCTGGACAGTGTTTAGGAAGACAGGTGAGGTCGGAGCTGCTGAAGCAGTGAGAGCGGACCGCAGGCAGGTATACCTTTGTCGATGTTGGAGTTGAGGTGGCAGTTTTTCTTGGTGTCCGCTCCTATCTTCTGGTCGTTCTCGTCGATGAGAATGCACATCTCTGCGAGCAGCTGGACCTGCTTCTCGTCCAGGTGGTCTGTGGTGATCTCGGGCATCCTGACTGCAGCCTGTGCGCGTCTCACCTCGCTGATGTAGAAATGGAACAACTTTAATACTGCATCCTGTCCACAATATGGTATTCGTAGATTTTAGACAGCGGATTTCAACGGACCCGGGGGTTATCTATTCATTTAAACCAGTTCATACAGTAGAAAAACGAAGACATCTACAACACGAATAAACAAGCCTCTTTAAACGATAGTAGCTCCAAGGATTTAACCCACCTGGATATCCGTCTGCAGCCGCTCGTCACAGAAGGCCTCTGCCACCCAGGAACTACTCTGCTGCTCCTGGCAGGTACGTTTGATTTCAACACGGCGACTCCCTCGCGGGATAGCACCCGGAGCACCGCCCACACAGCTGGGGCCATGGCCTGACCGAAACACAAAACCAATCACAAGGACGAAGCACCCGGCTGATGGTAATACACGGACAAGACTATCAAGGAATGGATCGGGTGACATTGTACACACTTAGCCAAAGTTATCCTTGGCATACAGGTGGCTTTACAATAAAAAAGGAATCCTAAAAGGGACAATGGAAGTGAGGTTTTGTCGCATGATTATAAGTACTTAACATCTTACTTGCTGCAGATTCTGAGTATATTCACCTCTTTGCCAATCTGAGTATTACCTACCCGTATTTCCTATGTGCATAAATTGTCCACTTTTGTGACAATATCTTTGCCGTCCAAATGTGATTATGGTTTAATGGTTACTAAAATAGCGACATTTTTGAGATTGGAATTGATTTATATCAGTAGAATCCATTCCATTGTACTCTAGTTCGTGTTTTTTTAATCATCGCAGACTGTAAACACGCCATCAGCCCACTGCACCACCCAGGCCTCTAAAGACCCAACATACGTATGCACTCTGGGGACACATGCAAACCACGCAAAAAGCACATACTATGAGATGCTACTTACCGAATACGTAATTTGCAGCAGGAGAGCCAAAATACGCCCTTGAAGTCTATTTAAATGTGCTTGCTACAGTTATTCCGGACTGTCAACGAACGGTCACGCATTCGCTCTCTTCTTCTGACGTTACGGACTTTGATTCGCTGTCTAAACGGCGGCGTGACCGCTCATTGGTTCAAAGGCTGCAAACACAGATCATGTGGTGCGGAAGCACTTTTTAATATGCGATGTGTCAAATTTCGTAATTAAAATAGGCTATTTAAAATAAATAACGTTCCTTCAATGTTTACAGTTAAACTAATATAACCTGGTGGAAATTTTAAATTAACAGACGCCCATTATAAAGCCCACTCAGCTTTCCCAGCAGCCATGAACGTCTGATAGCATAAAGGTGATATGTGGCAGCGGCTATTTAAGCTAGCTTGTACAGCTCAAGGCTGTTGGAAGATGCTTTTGAAATCAGGAACACAGCAAAATTGGTGAGTGACAGTCTAGCGTCTACAGATATACAATTATTAGAATTCAAGTATTAGACTACTAGATGTATGTTACATTTGAACGTAACCTGTACAGCTTTGGGAAAATAGTCTAAAATGATATATGTAATCGCGCGCCATACTTCTATTTTCGGCTTGTATTTGCTTTGCTGTCCTCGGTCGGGTTTTTGAAATAAAACGACAATATCTCGATAATAACCTCTACTGCTTAGCGGAATGTTATACAAATTCTAAATAAAAGCAGAAGTATAATGTTTTAGCAAAGGTCGGACTGTCTTTTAACAGGAAGTTTAGGGTTTTACCGGTGTGACACTAAATTCTGTGACCCATCAGATTCTGCGACATTATTGGAACCTTCATTCGGCCACTCAATGACTGGAGGGATGTTCAGTTATTTTAAATCATAGTTATATATCTCCTTTTTTTTCGTAGCATGGTGTTATCTCATAATGTTTTATGTCTGATTGTGGCTGTGAAATTATTACATGAAAATAGATGTACAGTGATAAGTCCTCTGGGGATTTGTGTTATGTTTCAGGACGCGCGCACACACAAAAAAAGCTTAGGTATCTTTATGAAACAAAGTCAAAATGGGGAAGTGATTCTCTTTAACTCCCTTCCTTGACAGCAACTTCCTTCAGGTTAATTTACGTTGTAGACCGTTTCAGCACCTGGGTTATTTTTTGCTTTCTTTGCCATTATGTTGAAGATTTGCGGCTGTGTTGGAACCACTGACACAATTTCAGCCAAATCTTCCGCTTTCACAAAGATTGAGTCAAGTTAGACTCTTGAATACTTAAGTATACAGGTGTCCACGTCATGGATCCTCCACCATTCTGTTCCACGGTTTAAATGAAGGTTTTATGCATGCCTCATGTGGTTTCTGGTCCAACTCTGCAGTCAGCATCTGTGGTTGCTAAGGATGTTCATGTAATTGTTTCTTTACCATCATTCTTCACATTAAAATGACATTGTTATGACACAGTAACTGAAAATTTTCCAGGCTTATCGCTTCACACATTATGTGTATCATTACTAGGCTTGCACCGATGTGAAACTGTTCTAATCTAACTCCACAAAGATCTGAAAATCCCCCTCAAGTTCAAAAATATGATTAGATACACTTACTGTGTGCAGTGTTGTGGTATAAATCACACACAAGAAACAATATTGGTGGTGCTATGAATACTGTCACACTGTCGCAACCAACCTGAATATATATATATATATTTT